ATAAATAAGTTAAATATACTAAATATGTAACTAAATATAGTTATATATAAGTTAAATACACTAAATGTAGTTATACTCTTAACTGCAAGTCATTTTTTGGTTGTTTTTCAAAAAGAGCAATGCACATCAGCTCCTAAGGAAATGATGCAGTGAGTGAAGAGATGCAGAAAAAAATCAAAACCAGGTTCTGAGTAGATCATTCCTATGGCAGAGCGACATAAAGGAAGAGCTGGCAGGCAGAGGGAAAAGCACACGTGCTGCTAAACTGCTTCATAGGATTTAGTAATACTGATTTAAAAATATTGAATTTTCTTATATAGATATGTGGGAGATGGGGAAACAAAACCAGAATAACAGCAACAACAAAACATTAAAAAGAAAAAAAAACCCCACTCAAAAATCCCACACCAAAACCCAAAACCCAACACTGTACTTTGACCTAAGACGTGTTTTACGGACCAGAATTTTCATGGGGTTTTAAGCAGAAATGTTTCACGTAAGCTTCCCCTTGACTGATACAACACTGCAAGATGATGAACCACATTTATCTACAGATAGGAATCACATTTTTAAATGCCTTCAGATGCAAAAAAACCCAAACCCTCATGGAAATCAAAACCAAATTACCTGATTGTATGTAACTAGGAAGTCCCTGACACTTATGGCATCTAAGAGGCTGTCGTTCTTGATTTCCACCGTTATCTCTCCGTGAGTTACGGAGCCCTCTGATGGCCAGTACTGGCAGCATTTCTCCTGCAAAATTCAGAGAAAACTCTGAACATCCCTTGAACTTTCTTCCAGTTATCTATGTTGTCACAAATCTCTGATACAGGAGGTACATACAGCAAAATAACCGTGGTCCAAACACTTCATAAGGATGGAGGGAGCTGCTGGCAGTGCTCACCAAGCCACTTTCTATCACTTACCAGTGGTTCTGGCCCACTGGGGCAGTCCCAGCTGGCTAAAGTGATGACCATGTACAAGAAGGGCTGAAGGGAGGATCTGGGGAACTACAGAGCTGTCAGTGTGACCTTGGTGCTGGGCAAGGCCATGGAGATCATCCTGAGAGCCATCATTGGCACATAGTTACAACCAGGGGATCAGGCCCAGCCAGCGTGGGTTCAAAGGGCAGGTCCTGCTTGACCAACCTGATCTCCTTCTAGGACAAGGTGACCTGCTCAGTGGATGAGGGAAAGGCTGTGGATGTTGTCTACCTATGCTTTAGTAAAGCCTTTGACACCACGTCCCACAGCATCCTCCTGGAGAAATGGGCTGCTCGTGGCTTGGATGGGTGTACTCTTCGCTGGGCCCAAAAAGTGGTGGTGAATGGAGGAAAATCCAGCTGGCAACCAGTCACAAGTGATGTTCCTCAGGCCTCACTTTTGGGGCCACTTCTGTTTAATGTCATTATCAGTGATCTGGATGAGGGGATTGAGTGCACCCTCAGTGAGTTTGCAGATGACACTGAGCTGGGAGGGAGTGTTGATCTGTTAAGGGTAGGAAGGCTCTGCAGAGGGACCTGGCCAGGCTGAATCCACGGCCTGAGGCCAATTGGATGAGCTTCAACAAGGCCAAGGGCCAGGTCCTGCACGTGGGGCACAACAACCCCATGGATGCTGCAGGTGTGGAGAGGAGTGGTTGGAAAGGACCTGAGGTGGTGGTCAAGAGCCAGCAGCGTGCCCAGCTGGCCAAGAATTAAGATTTACCTCGATTTTGGAGCTACAGTCCTATTTACACACTGATGTGATCTTCACAGATGTAGCATCCACAACCCTCAATCACTGATGAGGTTTTTCTGCTTAAGGATATCATTAATTCTCATATTTAAATAACAATAAGGCACAGTGGAAGGTGCTGCCCAGGTTCCAACAAGGAAGTTGGGAAGCAAGTTTGGAGTTAACACAGGGATGCCCAGCAGCACCCTGGCTGGTATCAGCAACAGCATGGCCAGCAGGAGCAGGACTTAGGAGTCACGGATGGTAAACACTCCTTGAAACCAGATTAGGATCAGATACATAACACCTGAAAGCAACGCGATGTTGTTAGGAGCTGCAGGCCGCATACCTGCTCCCTCTCCTGGACTTCGGTGAGCATAACGATGGTGTGGCACTTCCACTCCCACACCATCCGCCAGAAATCCTCCACCGTGTGCGGAAGCGGCCCCTGGGTGGCGATGAAGTAATCCTTCTGCCGATAGCCCTGCCGACAGAGAGCGGGACGGGTTTACCTCATGACATGGGAGGAAGGTGATGGCCGGAGAAATCACTGCTCAAACCGGTGCTGGAAAATGTGATGGTTACTGCACGTCTGGCGACACCGAGCCCACCCGATTGAAGAAACACGAGAAAACATCCCCTGAACTGGCAATCCTGAGCTGTATTTTGTGACTTTTTACAGTCCCGGCTGAAGGGATGAACTCTGCAGTAATGGGTAACTGAAAGGATTTCACGGTGAGGTTGTAACAACCGCAGCTATCAGCCTTACTATAGCACTAAGATTTACCTCAACTTTGGAGCTACAGTCCTATTTACACACTGATGTGATCTTCACAGATGTGGCATCCACAACCCTCAATCACTGATGAGGTTTTACTGCTTAAAGAGGTAATTAATTCTCACATTTAAACAAAAATAAGGCACAGTGGAAGGTGCTGCCCAGGTTCCAACGAGGAAGTTGGGAGGAAAGTGGCGTTAACACAGGGCTGCCCAGGTAAACGCTGGCTCCCAGACACTGCGACAGCCTCTCCCCTTGTAAATACAGACTTTTCTTTCCCCTGTTCTCAGAAAAGGACATATTTACATCCATGAGCCTGAACACAGATAACGGAGCTGTTGGGTGTCAGCTGCAGAGCTCATGTGTTTCACTGCCTGCTTTTTTTGAATGTACTAAAAACCTTAGTTTGTAAATTTAACCAGAAGAAGAATGGTTACATTACACAACCATCTGAGCTGCAATTGGAAACACCAAATAAGAAATGTACTTGGAAACTCTCATAAAGCTGAACCCAAACAAATAAACTAATGTTCTACACAGGCCAGATTGGGCACGGTCTCCTTAAAACCCTCATCAGCAACAGCAAAATATTTGACTTGTGGTTTAAGTACATGAAATTGTTTTACACGTACGTCTATGAAGGAAGCGTTGATGTAGTCCGTGTACTCCTGCCCTCTTTTCATCGACAGAATCACCCTATTAAAATCATCTGGAAAAAGAAAAGAAAAGGTCTATTCTTACTTTTGCAAAGTTTACGTTGACAGCTCCACGGCTGCATTTGTGAAAGAAGAAAACCAACAAAATCTCTTATCCAAAAACCCTCTGAGACACTCTTGATCTCATCTGGGATGTATGGGTGTGTGGAGGAGGGTGCTGGTGTTTCTGCCACTGTTTTTCGGTTCACACAGGACACTGCCCAGCAAGGGCTGCAACTCCCACCTGCAGGTGCAGACGTTACTGCACTGCTCCAGATGCCAGGGATCACACGGAGTGTGATGGTTTGAAGGGTGAAAATGTCCAATTATTTAATTCAGTCCTAAAACTACCCAATTTTACATTGACAAAGTCAAAGCCATTTCATTAAATCGTTTGCAGACACTTTATAAGGGCTCCAGGCATTAAAAGGAGAGGATAGTGGTGTTTGTATCATTAAGTCCTGCAAAAAGGATTACAAAAACCAAAAGAGAAGCTAACAGAAACAACTACATAAAACATGTTCTATCTAAAAATTAAGGTAAACCAGAAACTACCACTTTGGACAGTTCAACAGGAACTGAATTGAATTTTACAGGCAGCGGAGTTAAAATCTTTTCCCCTTTAAGACATAGGCAGGAATTATTTGCAGAATTCGTTTCCAAATCCAGGCAGGACCTCTCGTCTTGAGTGATCCCAACAGAGCAGCCCCGTTACCACCTTATAAACACAGTGTGCAGAGGATAACCTTAATAACTGGGTATTTACAGCCCTCCTTTCTCTATACAAAGCCCATCTCTTACATGGGATGATCTGGATGACTCTGGCTTTCTTCATATTTGCAGGAAGATTGCCCGTTCTCATGTTTTCCTTCATTATTCGAACGTTCGTTAACTTCTGGAAGGAAGGACACAGACGAGGATGAGGGCTCACTGGGGCAGAAGCAGCTCCCGTAACCCCGTGCTCACTGGATTCCTATGACCCTTTATCGGGTACAGAACAGCAGTGCAGCCAAAGCAACATGGGCTTCTCACAAAAACCACTGAATTCTATTTTTATAGGCAGGACAAGGAAGAATAAGAGTCGCTATTTCTTCATACTGATAAATATTTAAGAATCTGAACACATAACCAGAGCGTATTAATGAAGTTTAAAGGCAATAAAATGACCTAAATAATAAAATTTTAACCAATTTCTGGTTAAATTAATCCTTCAGAGGAAAGGGAGAACTCCAGATAACACCCAGACGTCATTTAATGCTTTAGGCCTATATATAAAATCAATATTTTAGTATAGCAAAAGTCACAGAAAAGTTCTAACTGCATCCTCAGGACCAGAAAGTCTCCTTTAAACAACGATCATAAATGGCCGGTGTGGTTGCTTTCTGCATCTGGGGTTTCTCCACTAAAAATAAGTGCCTTTTTGAAAAAGTTTCCTGCCGGGTCTGGATATCCAGCACAAGACGTGCAAATTCCCTGCAGTGTCGGTCATCACCGAGTTAACGCCGCCGTTGAGATGCAAATCAGGCGCACTCACCCCGCTCCCTCTTCCCTCTTATCTGATCTGGCACCCAGTACCAGACCCCAGAATAATCCCTTTTTTCTTTGATAAACAAACAAAGAGCATAGGAAGAGGTCCCTAAAATGGCTTTGAAGGAGCAATTGCAAACAGGAAGTTAAGCCAAGCCCCATTCACCGACTCCCCAGCACCCATTCACAGCAAGCAGAAAATAAATCAAGTTGTTATGTTTTGATGGACCTTTTCTTTTAAGATTACA